GGGGGGGGGGGGGGGTGGGATCGTTATAGCTCCGCCCCTTTGTGGTAGGCAGCCCCCTTCATATTCCCCCAAAAAAAGAATAAAAATAATAAACAACAAAAAAGGGGGGAAAGGCAGGGAAAACGCCGAAAGGGTCAGGGCCACCTAAAACTAATTTCAAACAACAACAACAAAAAGGAAAAAGAAAAGTAAAAAAATGCAGTGAATAATCAGCAGAAATATACGGAATACAGGAATAAACATAGAAATACGACGAAAAACGAAGCCAGCTTGACGGCGATATCAAAACACAAACATCGCCGATTACTCCGTCGCGCACCTTGCATCGCGCTAACGGAGATTAAACGCAGTGATATCATTTAACAACTCAATCACGGACTGACAAAAACACCAAAGAGAATAGGATAACGGGAGCCTACTTGTGAGGCCGGAGGGCACAACAGTGCAAAATTGGCGCAATAACGCTTCGTTATCACGCTGAACTAACAAATCTGCACAGATTTCAGATTCGGCAAGCATGTAGCCCTTCTCGATAGTAGAGAACGTAGAACCGAGGGAGATTTCCAGTTATAACCCCTTGAACCGTTCCTCTAATCCTCATTTATTCACAGAAAAATGGAAAAATTGAGCCCAAGCCAAATCGCGGAACTCGAAAGAAGAGTAAAAGAGGAACTGGCACGGAAAACGTTCATCATCGAGGAGTCGCCATCAAAGTATACGGAATCACAAATCCGCCAAAAAATAAAATTCTGTGGCGATAAATGCAACGAATTCGAAGATAAGCTCCAACAAGCGAAACTGGACCTCATCTCCCTGAAGCAAACGCGATGGAAAACTTCGTACACAGTCGCGGAGTCGTTGCAAGTCATACTCGAATTCAAGGAGCTACGAGCACAGCACATAGAACGAAAAGGAGAGCTGATATCTTGGCAGATCAACTACTTCTTGCCCACGAATGGTATGAAATCTTGGTGGCGGCCGGTGAAGCAGAGGAGATCGATCGAGTCATATGCCTGAACGAACTGGAAGAACTGTGATTCTGGTACCTACACGGCCCAAGGACTATGGCTACCCGGAACCACAGCAAGTATTCCGAAAGCACAAAAAGGACTCGACCGGCCCCATATTACAACGAATTCGCACAGGATACGATGCGCTCCTTGACGACGATGCGAAAGAGGTCTACGAGGTGGAACAGGAGATAAGAAGAGGCAACGAGAGCAACGAAGGATGCTCAACGAAATGTATAACGCAGTCACAGCACTTGAAACGGAATTACAAAGACAGCGAGAAGGCAGAGAATGGCCTCAAGGTAAAACGTCCAACTAGGACATCCAACAGCTCAAAGATATGATCACAGAACTTTGAGATGAAGTGAAGCGCCAAAGACACGATTCGGATCGGAAGAGAAATGGCAACTCACGAAATGACGGCTCGTTCAAAGAAATCAAGGAAGTATTGTCACAGTTGAGATATAAGTTCGCCAACTACACGAAGAGACAAGGAGTTAGATCCAAGGAGTGTACAAGCACTTCGACAAGCAAATGGCGGAAGACAGAGAAAAGAACATGCACAGTGTGAAAGAGGAGATCCAACGTCAACAGAACTACATCCAACAGGAGACTTCGTACATGGAACAGCAACTGTCAAGATTGGCGACACAGATCAAGGAAGACTTTAAACGGAGCCGCAATGAAAGTTCAAAACTGCTGGACGAAGTAAAGAATTATATCACAAAATTGGACACCAGAAGCAACACGAAGGGCGAATCACCGGAAACACAGAGGAGGACACATCGGGAAACGGAATACCATCACCGTCACAGTCACAGTAATTACAGCAGTCATTCCGGAGAAAAAAAAACGCAAACGCCCGGAGCAAAAAACATCTACCACGGAGAAACGACACCACCACGAGGAACGTATTGCCGATTGTCAGGAGGAGCTGAAGGAGATCCAGAGGGAATTACAGAAACTAATTTATCCGGAGAGACGATTTGGCGAAAGAGGACACAGGCTCGGTCTATTCATGTGCGTCTTCTGCAAGGAACATGGACAACACTTCTCGGATTCATGTCCCAGAATGACTTCAATCGCAGATCGAATAGCCCTATTGGACCGTGAAGGAAGATGTTACCTTGCCTGGAACGCCACTCGGGTGTCTGCGAAAAGCCAGCCCTGTGCTTCTACTGCAAGAATTGCGGACGAGGAACGGCTCATGACCATCATGCAGGCATATGTTCATTGCCGGACGAAGTCAATCGCCTAAGGCAGAGAAGGAGGGAACTCGAGAACAGGATAGAGGATTGCCAGCGCGAACTACGACACTCGGAACATAGCCACGGACCTGACAACGACACAAATCACAGCACGGACGAATCGGGCCCCTCTTATTCTCGACGTTAGGGCCGGAGTATACGAACTTGCGGTTCGTATCATTCTTTGGGCCCTGAGGAATGCACGGCGCGCAAGGTGGGAATAGGCCCGAAGATTTCCCATAGCATAATGTTCTTTGATAGCTTATCAACCCATTTATCATGCTTGTTCTTAGTTTATTATGTTCGCAGTGTATATATAAGTAGTGGCTAGTCGCGTTGTACCATTTTATTTCTTTGCTTTCTTCCTATAATTATTTGGCACTTTCAATGCTTCATCTATTTTTATCATATTTATCAACATCCCCTCACAGGACCCTCACAGCAACTCACAGCACATCCGAATATATGCACATTGTATTTTTTGTCTGTTGTTATCGTAGTCGCATTGTAGTCATTAGTTGCTTTTAGTAATAAAAGTTTAATTACCCAAGTTTGAGGTGTACTCGCTGCGCGTAAGTCCCGCGTGGCAGCATCGATCACAGTCCACACCGCACACACATACACTGATCATCGACCGTACAGGTCACTTTGTGACTACTAACTTGGAGAAAATCCAAATTTGTAATTGTGTGTATTCGCATCAAGAATTTCGAGTATTCGCTCAACTCTTGCCTTTTCGTGAAAGGTCCCAAAGTCTCAATTTTAGAAGCTTATATCATGGTAAGATGAGATTATTACGATAATGAATATCATCTCTTCGAAAGCAATTGCTATTTAGATGCCAAAAACAGCGCAACATTTCCTAAATGCTAATCCAACAAACTAGATGTGAAAACGTTCATCTGCTATAACATGAGCGGAACAATTAGCTAAAACAGCGGCAGCGAAATCTCCGCGCCTGCTAAGAAGCGACTGAACGCTTGCGTGCTATGAAACGAATCAAACTACAAAGTAGTGAATTTCTTCGTCGTATGAACTACAAACATAACCGAAAACCGTATTTTTTGAGTGTAGTGATTGCGAAGCTGGTGTGAGAGGACAATCTGTACCGCCCAAAATATTTGTTCGGACTAGGATAGCATCAAACCTCTTTCGATGTTGACGACTTCGAATATGAATATGAAGAACTACAGTGCTGGCCAAAACTATAGATCCACTATAAAAAACTGTCGTAGTTCGTCTGCTTCTCAACGAATTGATCTGAGATTTGGTACAGTTGTGTGTTCAACAGGCATTCATCAGTGACCGGAGCGGATTCAGCTTTCGTTAGATTATTCAGGAAAAAAATTAAAAATTTCGAAAAAAGCAGGCTCGAAAGTTGGCCAAAACTATAGATCCACCCAAAATTTCTGCCTGCTAACGTGATTCTTAGCTTCCAAAATCTTTTGTGCATAAACCTAGTCGAAAGTCAAAGCAGTGGGTTTAGTTCAGCTGCGTCATACCTTTATAAGAAACGCTTATCTGCTTTTTTCCACTCAAAAACTGCTCTCATGCGTATTTTGTTCCCGAGAATGTGTTTTTATGAGGATTCCGCACTTTTTTGACTGGTTTGAAAGTGATAGGGCTCCATCTATCTTATAGATGCTTAGCAGCGTGAGCAGTAAAAAAAATTCGGGTTTTCGTATCCAAAGCGCACCTGACACAGACATAACCGTAGGCCTGCGCTCGAATTTTTGCCTTCAAAATTGGTATCCGCTATTTTTATAAGCTCAAAATAATGTAGAAGCATTATTTAGCATTATTCACCTAAAAAGAAGTTTGTAAACTATAGTTACGATTGCTTGCGAAGTCGCACTTTAATTCTTTTTCAAAGCATAAGTCTTGCGGTGTGTTCGGCAATCTCAAAGTACTTACCGACTGGTACCTTCTTTGAATTTTGCCACTTTTTAGCTGCTAACTATTGAATACACCCTGCAATATATGTTGCCTTGTGATTCACATGAGCATTATGGTCAGAAGCAGAAATAACTTCAAGGCTTGTTGCAAATCACTTTTTGCAGGATGAAGTCCTCAATTAGCCTGCATACTAGGATCTGCAAAAACCTGCAATCACTGCATACGGACTCTCATACATACCAACAATGTATCTACTCCAGTTCACGCTCATGACAACGTTGCAGAAAGAGCTTGAAGGCATAAATTTGAACGCAGGCCTGCGGTTAGGTCTATGTCAGGTGCGCTTTAGATACGAAAACCCGAATTTTTTTCTGCTGCTCACGCTACTAAGCATCTATAAGATAGATGGAGCCCTATCACTTTCAAACCAGTCAAAAAAGTGCGGAATCCTCTACAAAAACACATTCTCGGGAACAAAATACGCATGAAAGCAGTTTTTAAGAGGAAAAAAGCAGATAAGCGTTTCTTATAAAGGTATGACGCAGCTGAACTAAACCCACTGCTTTGACTTTCGACTAGGTTTATGCACAAAAGATTTTGGAAGCTAAGAATCACGTTAGCAGGCAGAAATTTTAGGTGGATCTATAGTTTTGGCCAACTTTCGAGCCTGCTTTTTTCGAAATTTTTAATTTTTTTCCTGAATAATCTGGTGAAAACGGAATCCGCTCCGGTCACTGATGAAAGCCTGTTGAACACACAACTGTACCAAATCTCAGATCAATTCGTTGAGAAGCAGATGAACTACGGCAGTTTTTTATAGTGGATCTATAGTTTTGGCCAGCACTGTATCAAATAATGAGACAACAACAGAGTTGATAAAAAATACAGATTTTGCACAGAATGGTCTAGCCACCACAAAGAGGTACTCACTTTACGCAATCTGTCACGTAATAATTGTAAGACTAACAAGGGCAGCCCCATAAATAAACATTAAACCAAGAATTTGTCCGCCTCAGCTAACCTGACGCCGTCCTCAGGCATTTTTTGTACTTGATAAGGATTCGACGGTGGCAGGGCTCCTAATGATTTCGCTAATGAAGCAACGGTCCGTTTTGGTTTAGTGTAATCATAAGGGAAGAGTCCGGGCATGCTGAAGTAACAAGTTTTCAACAAGTACTGACGTCAAAAGCTGCAGACAAGCAAAGATTAAGGCCCGTCGCAAGTACATCCCCGCGGTGAGGGGAGAGTTTATGAAGGGGGGGGGGGGTATGCCTCACATCCCGTACTCTAGATATCTTTCCTCTTCTTCCTCTATGGCTTATGAAGTTTATCATACTGATACCTGCGCATAATAAATGTCAGGTTACTGCCATACAAGACTAGATCTTCACTATGTTGTGTAAATCCCCAGGAGATCAGTAGCGACATATATCCCATCCTCAAATCCCCTCCCCTCCCCATGGGGGTGTACATGCATACGGGCCTAAGAAATATGAAAGCAACGTGTCAAACTTTCCAAGCGATTATAAAGGATATCAACTGCAGAAGTACAAACAAAAACTTGAACATACTCTAGGCATTGCTTCTCATATCCCGCGGCGAGATCGGCAAACTCTTCGATGCCTAACTGAACTGATGATGCTTTCGGATTCACTCGGCAACTCTTCAACAACTGATGCGCCATATCGTCAGCTAGCTAAAACATAGAGATCTACAAATTTTAAAAGGAAAAAATGCAAGATGTAAAAGAACCCTTATAAAGCTTCTTTTCATGAAAAGCAGAAAAACAAAGAGGTTTCATCAGCATGTATCAATAAATGTTTTGAATGGTATCAAGAGTGAGCCAAGAAGCTGATAACGGATCACCTCTTTCGGATACAACGTCTTCAACCCTTTGATCATGTATTTCTGTCGATAGTGAAACACTTGGCGACAAAGCTTTTCCACAACCTGTAAATCAAGTTATTGTGGAGCTCAGAGATATTAGCGTACATCATAGAAAAAAAAAGAAGTACAGGAGTGTACCTCAAACGGTACATTAATCAACGGCTGAATTCGCGGAATGAAGCGTACTATACCAACATCAACATCCGGTCGAGGTACGAAGCAAGCACCTGAGTCATAAAATCATTATTCATTATCCAGCTCGAACTACAGTAATAATTCTTTGAATCGTACATTTATACCAAATGTGACTGCACAAATTTTAACCATTGATAAGTCTGTTCTATGAAGGTCCCTCAAGTCCACTCATTAGAAAAGAGACAACAAAGATTTGCAGTATGAAGCAGATCACCTCTAGATTTTCAGTTTTGTACGATTACGGTAGGAAATACAGCGCACAGCGTTATTGTGAAAAAGGCCTTTGAAAAAAGAATGCTACAAAAAATTTGGAAAGTTGTGTAGCATGTTTCCAAACATGCTGATTTTCAAATGCTTTTTACGAGTCTTCTGAGCGTTGTAGATGGTTCAATCACATTTTTGAAAAACACTGAAGACACTGCCAGTTTACTTAGCATAACTTATGAAGAAAGATTTAAATATGGTTGAGTGCGAATTTCATATACTTCAGCGATTCAGTAGCCTAATTGTAAGATTTCAAGCTCGTTGAGTATCTGTTCCGAGACATTAACGGTCTTTACTCACTTCAAAGTAGTCCTACAGTAATGGTATGGGAAGAGAGCTAATGGCAGTCGAAAAGTGTGCACTTTTTTGGATACCCTGTATTAGCAGGAAAAGACTAAATAGCAAGACAAAACAGACCAACCAGGAATTCTGAACATTATTTTCGGCTCCGTCAGGTACTGAGCCATGATTGAAAGTCTCGACCGAGCATCATCATCAATGGGACTGCATATCCTTTTTGCCACTTCCATTTGAAATGTCAGCGTCAACGGAACTCGCCCGAATTGCCAAGCATCTCGTCGATAGGACATGTCCTTCAGTAGTCTGGGAAGAAAAGGTATAGTGCTAGTAGTGTATTGATCAACAGCCGTGTTCTGGAGCTCCCAAGTGAAGACTCACTTGATAATTAGAGGAGAAGCAATATTGAATGGCAGGTTTCCTATAATATGCATCTCCGGAATTGGGTCACTCCACTCTCTTCCTTTTTTAGCTCCAGCTTTACCCCAGATTTCGCCAATATTGGTTTTGAGCACGTCAGCACGATGAATATGAAGCCTGTCCTCAGCAGCTTCGGCCAGATGCTGGAAACGCCCTCTAAAAGTCATCGATAGGTACAAATGGCATGGCACCAGTACACTGACCCCAATATTCTGCCGAATTTTTCTCTTTCCCGCTGCTCAAACAACTTCTCGGATAACCTAGCACAAAACCGAGTTTGAGATGGAGAGGCCGCAGTCAAGATACCAAATATGTTGCGGTTATTCAAAGTGCTTCTAACAAGGAAACCCGATTAGTCGAGTCGCCTTTCCAAATGAGTCTTATACACTTTGAAGAGCACTAGACGGTGATTCCAAATCTGGTTTCATTATCTGCCGAGCGCCTCTGCACGCCGAGTTATGAATTTTTTCTTGTTACGAAAAATGAACGCATAATCCAGGTAAAATCAAATTTTACGCTCATTTCAGCGCTCAAATAGAACAGTGTTCAGTATGACTGTCTTGGACAAAAGTTGTTGTTCAAATAAAGTGCTTTGATAACCAACAGTGGGCCATTCGAGCAATTCTGACGAATGTTTTTTACTAATTATGTACTCAATTTTTCAACTCAAAAAAGCTCATAGCTCGACGTACATAGGCGCTGGGTAGATAGCGGAGTAGATTTAGAATCAACATTCGATGCTCTTTATAGTGGTATCAATTTCATATGAAAAGGCCAATTCGATCAAATAGACCTCTCTTGTGAGGACAACGCCAAAATGCGTAGTACGGACTGCGTTCGGTTCGTTAAAGGCAGTATGTCGGCAATGAGACCCGTGGCAAAAAAGGTCACAGGGTAGGAGCCCCATAATGGAACCTATGGGCCAAAGTTCGATCTTTCTCTGCCACTTCTAACCGCCGAAATTTCAAAGCGAAAGCAGCGCTCATCTCCTGTCCTCTCCGAACCCGCGGTCAGAGCGCCAGCCGCAATGCTATATGCATGAGGTCTCGCAACACTCTGCGTCTTCGCCATGACGGGCTTCGCGTTCACTCGTCCATGGGGTGGGCGGGTTCGGAGAGGACAGGAGATGAGCGCTGTTTCGCTTTGAAATTTCGGGGGTGGAAGTGGCAGAGAAAGATCGAACTTTGGCCCATAGGTTCCATTATGGCGGCTCCTACCCTGTGACCTTGTTTTGCCACGGGTCTCATTCTGCCGACCTACTGCCTTTAAGTAAGCATATTTATCAGAGATTAGACTTAGGCTGCGTTCATACTGATCCGGAAGTTCGGGAACAGCCCCAGCACAGGGCTTGAAGTGAAACTGTTCTCGAACTTTCAAGTTATAAGTGCAATCCAGAAATACAGCAACTATATAACAGCAGTAATTAGGTAGCTTCGAATTACCCCTATGTACAGAAGAACAAATGAAGACCTAAAGTGGCTAATACGGGGATCAAACCTATATATCTGTATCTCCTCACTGCAGTTCGCGGCAAAACAGATTGAATACAAGACAGAGCATTCTCGCATTGTCTATCTTTCCCCCCCCCCCTGACTCTCACGCACTACCTCATGAATTCTCAACGGAAAACTCTCGTCCCATTTGTGAATGTATAATAATACGATGATGTTCCACACTGATGCAAAATAAGAATTCGTGAATTTCGCTGAAACCCTGATTAAAGTGAACGAAAAGCTGATTACCGTTAGCATAATGATTTTGCAGAAGTGTCATTTTCCGGCTTATGACGAACATATGGTGTTAACTACTCTCCTTACAACTTCGACATTCTCATGTTTTTTGGGGAATTCTCCTTCAGCTTCCGGCTCTTATCGAAAAATTCCGCTTCAATATTCGTAATTTCCTTTGCCCTTGCAGATAGAGTATTTTGTGAGCAGCCCCATGAGCTTTACTTCCCGCCAACATGGGGTCAGCTGGGAAAGCATTCGCATTCAGTGACGCAAACTATGAGAAGTATATGCGAAAAAAAGCTGTGAAGTTTGCGTTATCGTAATGAGTTGGCGTGCAATGGATCTTATGATCGTAATCAGCATGCTAAACCCCCTCCTGAACAAACCTTTAGCGAGGCCGGATTTTGACCCATTCGCCAGCCACCCATTATAACTTCTGGTACCGCAATCGCCTATTAGTGGTACTTGTTATGGCAAATAATCTTTTGAGGCAAGCTTAGCGAGAACCACGATTTTAGAGTAATAGGAGTAGTATCGAACTAGACGCATTTTTCAGCGTTACAATGACGCCGTAAATAGTACATATCGAAAGTAATCAAAAACTAAAAGAACGTGGGAAGATAAAACACGAAAGAAGGATGAGAGAAAGCAAATAAAATCGAACCTGAAGGGGCGGTATGAAGCGCTGATCTATTTCCACCACATCAAGTCGTTCGCAATTGGACTCTAGAATGGCTCTAGTGATTCCTCCGGGACCAGGGCCAACTTCGCAAACCCAGTCCCCCGGTTGCACTCCAGCAGATTTTACAATCTGAAAAACACAGTATGCGTGAAAATTTAAAAAAGAGGTGCACCTGAAATGAGAGACAAATGGAAAAGAAAAAGTAAAATTTAGCAGCTTTATATCTCCCAAAATATCAGGTTTTTATTAATATACTACTGTTTCTTCTTACCTTTCTAGTCAGGTTCATGTCCATAAGATAATTTTGTGATAAAATTTTCTTCGCACGCAATCGATACATGTGGATAAAATCTCGTAATGCCGGTAGAGGAGGCAAACGATTGAAATTTGTTGCCATTCTGGAAAGACACAAACGTGCATACTTGTACAGAAAATCTCAAGGAACTAAACGAAAAAAATTCAGGTTGAGCCAAAAAAATACACCGTGTTCGATTGGAGTGTGACGCGTTGATTGGAGCATGGGATACGCACTCATTCTCGAATATAAGAGACTCCTCAAGCTGCGGGGGGGGGGGAATAAACGCTGTGTTTCCTGCAACCCCTATGATGCGTGTGATTTCAGTTATTCACGGGAAGCAGAACTCTACCTTACCATGGGGGTCCAAAAATGAGCAGTACATACTTATCATTCATTCTGTGACCACGAGACGCGAGCCCGCATTGCACGACTTCCGGTATCGGGACGGCATGACGAGGGACCGTAGATTCGCCCGCAGGAACGATCGGCCCCATTTAAATCTACACAGTCGGCTGCGCGGGCGGTCGCGTCGCGCGCACAGTTTTGCCGCCAGGTCACGCTTGCTCGTCTATCATTCTCGACCACTAGAGAGCAGAATGACACTCATGTCAGACCACTTCATGCGTTTTTCGAAAATTTCACGCCAACGGTGTGAGTAGTGAATCGTTCTTATATCGGACACTTCACCGGCTTGAAGAGTGTGAAGGGTTCATACATTTGTGCAAGCAAGCTCGAACGATGGTTGTGACCGAGCTCTCGGCCGGCATTTGTGATCTCTTCTGTTCTTGTTTTCTTTTGATGAGTTATATGCTCGACTAAGGCTAGGCTGTGCCACTGGGATCGCGTAAATAGCTAAATAGTTGGATTTATGTAGCCATTTCATCTCCATTTGTCTTTATATTCTCTTGTCTTCTCTTTCATTCAAATTCTGTAGGTATTTCTTTTACTAGAGTTTTGAGGCTTCCTTGGGAACTACTGATGAGGGGCACCAAGGAAGCTGCACTACCGGTATAGTTCTTAGCCCCGAAACCGGATAGTGTTAAATTAGAAACAAAACATTGTGGTGAACTTCTTGGTTGTCTTTATTGATTCAACGCTAAACTTTCACATTTTTACATATAGCGTGTTGAAGAAGCAAGATTGGATGTTTGGTATGCCCATTGCTTTCGAGAGCTGCGCTATCACAGATGAATTTTTTTTACGTCAAAACCATAGGAGAAAAAATTAGTCTTGGTATTTTTCCGTCTTAAGTAAGCTTCTTTGGTCATGTTAGCGTTGCTCAGGTTGCTGGAACGCAAATTTTTGATGAGGTTATCGTGTTCTGAGTGCGAGTTGATACGACGTGCACATTCTTGAAGCTGGTATCACGTTTGGATCGAAAATAGGTATCATCTATTCTGAAACTAGGAAAGTCGAGTATGCTTTGCACACCTTGTCTCAGCAAGCCTTTGTACTTTTGTTCTTCCCTAGTTCAGAGTAGTAAATAGATCGATCACAAGTGTAAAGTTGCTAATCACACAGACGGGCTTGTTTAGATATGTATGCAAAGCGCCTCCGAGTCTTTTAGCCTCATTGTCAGAATAAATGGTCAACTTTTCTGTGAAATATCCAGGAACACAGTCACATGCTGCCTTAGATGATGATGTCTATCAAACTCCAAATACAGTTACACAAAAAAACGAGGTGAAACGATGCATTAACTCGTTAGTTATACGTATGCAAAGCATACTCGTATCCAAGTTTCGGAATGGACGATAGCATATCAAACATGTTTTCAAAAGTAATGAGCAAAGACGGATAAACTCAGAACTGAACAAATTGTCGGCGGTGAATGCGATTGGAAAGTTTCAGTGAACATCCACTTATAAGGAAACAGCAAAGAACTTCTTAGACCGTAAGATTCGAATGCCTTGATCCTCTTATAATTCGCCTTAATCCACATCTGGGGTCGACTCGACACTTCTCCGTACTTGTGTTGCCTTATATGCACGTTCCGACTTGGTAAATCAAATCGTCACATTCAACCCACAAACCGACAATCCTGCACGGGTTCAGGTAATCGAGGGATTAAAAGGTGATTCTGAAGAAGTAGTGCAGAAGCAGTCGGAAAATCAAAACCAGAATAAAAAACATTCTATCCTGATTGAGTTCTATCCTGAATTGACAGTGAAATGTTCACTCCTGAGCGCGACCTGAGCAAGCGTGACCCAAGCATACAAAGTGGCTGCGCGACGCGACCGCCCGCGCAGCCGACTATGTAATATCTCCTCCATGACGAAGGCGGTCGCCCAAATAGGTTGAGAGCATCCAAGGCTGACGCGCACGTGGCGCGCGGGCAATTGTCAACCACGGGTCGCGCGCACGACCGCGTGTATGACCGCTGACCGAGCGTGCGCGCGCCCGGTGGTCGACAATTGCCCGTGCGCCGCGGCCTTGCATGCTTTCAACCTATTTGGGCGACCGCCTTCGTCTTGGAGCAGATATTAGATTTAAATGGGGCCGGAACGATCACTTTTGGATTGGAGCAGGAATCCTCCGTAGAGCACCTTACTCTTCCAACGCTGAATTTGAGGATGCGCTTGCCAAATAACTCAATGTTGCGTCTTGCAACTCTACTACTGCAACTCTAGTCTCCGTATCAAGCTTGTCGAGCCACTTTCTCTGGTTGTGATATGCACTGACTTATATCAGTGAAGCTTTTGCGCTCGGATGTACTCAATTGCGGCTAACACTTTTGCAGACGCTCTTGTCACGTCTGTCATTTGAGCGGACTTCTTCTATGCCATGCTTGGCAACAGAAATCTATCCGAGAATATTTGAATTGGCAACAATTTGTGCAAGTTGTATGCATTATCAAACTATCTTCCAGATAAACGTGGAACAAAGATTGATTTTATGAGGGCATCGCAATTCAATGCATAAACACTAAAGCATGCGGAATCTATATATAAAGCTGAATGTCTGTTTGTCTGTCTGTATGTCTGTATGTCTGTATGTCTGTCTGTGTGTACGTATGTTCCGAATAGAAAATTCCATTTCTGAACCGATCCGGACCAAACTTGCTCAGACAATTCTGCGCGCAAGCGGCGCGCACTCACTGCCAGCAGGGCAGGCGGCGGGCCGTGATTTGTGGGCGTGACCTTGCACCGCACAGGCGGCGCGCACTGATTTCAGCCAACAGGCGGCGCGCAATGCATGTTCGCAGGCGGCGCGCCGACACAGTGTGCGTGCAGGCGGCGCGCAATGAACTTTCTGTAGCATCACGTAAGCGAAGGAGGACGCTGCTTTCGCGCGCAAATGCAGAATTCTATGCATATAGTCGTTTCTCCTCGTTCCTCCTTGTTTTTTTTCATACAAAGTATTGTGTTGTTTACTATCTCACTTTTACTCTGCTGTTTCACCTCTTTTTCTGTTTCTAAATTGTTCTGAAATCAAGTATGGATTTTTTTTGCCTTTTTGTAGCACGTGCTCTTTTATTTAATCCAAATTCACTCTTGTTTCACAGTCAGTCTTCCATAAGTTTTATCCTAGCTCTGGTTCTTAATGATATTGACCCCGTGACACAGGGACGCTCATTTTCAATCAATAACGCTTTCTTGCGTCGTTGCACCCCCTTCGTTTCTTTCCGTTGCCATTTCTTTCTATTCTTTTTTCACAATATAAAAGCATTGTTGAATTCAGGTCACAACTACCTTATTACAATGATGGCTATGTGTGAATGCCGAAAAAAGTCAGCCTCAAAAGGGTAAGTTTTGTTTTTGAAGCCAAAGTAGGTTTTTGTCTAAAAACATAATATTGTGTTTCAGCCACCAATCTACAATGACCCCAAATACCAAGAATCAAAACAATTTATTATGGTCGTGGGACCTCAGTCCTGACTATATATCCTGAAGAGGTGAAAAACTGCATTTTTTCTGTATTCGTCAGAATTTTTGTTGCTGTTTCTCTTCAGTTTGCTAATAACCTGTATTTCAGCGCCACAGCAAGCGTCTAGCACCGACTGATGGAATCAATCCTTGGAAGAAGAAAGACCATTACGAGGAATAACGAGGAAAAGGCTGCTCCAGATCATTCATGTCTTATCATACACCCAAATTTCATTCCTTTATCCATCGTATCCCCGCCATCTAGTTGTTTGATTCCAATGGTAGAATCAAGTATATGAAATCTATGAGCATTTAATTCTGGCTGACTAAACATGCTCAGGTTTTGTTCATTCCTGTCGCATTTTCGTATTTTATTCCTCTATTGTACAGATATAATGTATTTATATCTATGTATACATGTACAGGTTATTATCAAAATATTTAGTGATTATATCGTCGATTATTTGAAGTCATCTCATCATACTGTTACATTTTTAATCAACTTCATTGTATTCATTTCTTCATACACACGTCTTGTTGATATAACGTTTGAATGTAAATACGTTGTTGATGTTGACTTCGAAATATCTGTGAATTTTGCATGTACTACCTAAGAATAGTATCGAATGCCAGCGTCAAAGACAGCCTTACCTTGTAAATACTGTATTTTTGTCGCAATTTGTAAAAACCTGTCAAATTTCAAAATTGTAAATATTATTCGTTAATAAAATAGTTATGAAACCATATTGTCCAACAAGCATAAGATATTCAGACCGACAACAAAAATCCGAGCAGATTCCTGCCAAATTTTTCTCGTAGCGCGCAGGCGGCGGGCCTTCAATCCATAGGCGGCGCGCACTGCACACACAGGCGGTGGGAAGACACATCGCTCGCTGATTCCGTGCGCGCCGCCTGCGCGCAAATTTGTCTGAGTGATACACATACACTTCGGGCCCCGGCGGGTGTCACAGTCCACTTTTCGTCATCGACCGATATCGATTTTATCGAATTTTTGCAAAATTTGAGCTACGGGGCTGGGAAATGGCACAGGGGGGTAATCGGGGTAATAATCACCCCCCCCCCGTGGGGGTGATCGACATGCTCGATTACACCCCTCTGCCAAATTCCAGTCCTCTAGCTCAAATTCTGCAAAAAATCGATAAAATCGACATCGATCGATAACGAAAAGTGGACTGTGACACCCGCCGGGGCCCGAAGTGTATGTGTGCCAAGTTTGGTCCGGATCGGTTAAGAAATGGAATTTTCTATTCGGAGCATACGGCGGAGCCGGGTAAGCCAGCTAGTAAAAAATATATCGCAGCGCTTTATGCTCCGAAAAGGAGAACATTTCACAGTCAAGCTCTGCCATGATTTGCTTCGTAGTATTTCAGATTTACTTGAATCATTCAGGCCTAATGTAGAATCATTCTCCTTTTGTCATTTTATCATGTTCTTGTAAATCTGAAACACTGCAAGGGCTGACTTGAAAACTGGAGTCATAGTTCAAGTTTGTTGAAGGTGACTTTGCAATTCTTATTGCAAACGGTCTCGGTTAATGGTGCCTACATTTTCGAGAAACTAAGTCGTAAAACCTAAGCATCAGCATTTCAGATTCTTTTGCAAACTTATATTCTTGGCGAGCTTTGAAAGATGAAGTTCAGTGGTCTTTTTCCTCGCTTACATTTCTGAGGAAAGCTCTATGCATCTAATACTTGAATTAGCCCTTCAGGTCCAAGCAGCATTATGTATGGCGACAAAAATCTACAGCGTATCCCAAAATATGTGCACACTGTATGATCGTTAATAACTCTCTTGCCTTCATGTCTTTTTGAAGAGGGCTGTGCAAATTTGACGGAGTTGAAAAAACAACCACTTCTCAAGAGCGAAGGCCATTTATGCCCAGACACTGTAAACTAAGCATGTGCATATCATTAAAAAGAATAACAATCTCGACAATAAGCTGTCAACATGGTTATTTATTTATCTCCTTACCTTCGTACCTGAAATTTTCTCAACACAACGATTTGACTTTGACAAAAGCACAAAAGAACAAATCTTGGCCGCTCTCGAGAAGTCACAGCAAGAAGACGACGATCAACCGCTGATCAGTGCGCAACATTCACAATCAGAGACAAACTACGATGTTAAGAAGCTGGTACAAATCAGTTTCCTAGTGCCACCTTTTTTGCAAGAATTTCGCTTACAGGCAGACTCCCCAATAGTCAAGGCATTCTTTTTCGATTTGGAATCTGGGCAACCGTCTCCTTTCAGCATGCATGCTGAAAGGAGACGGTTGCCCAGATTCCAGATCGAAAAAGTGATATTTACTAAAGAGAAGAGGAAAAGGCAAATCAAACTTTTATGTACAAATTCAAACCGCATTAACAAAGATTGTACTTGATGCTGATAGTAATGGAAACTTAGAGCTTGAGTAACTCATTTTATGCCGTAACTCTGCGCGGTTTCCCAAAATCAGTTCCCGCTGGCGATACCCATTTGTCCAGATTTGCCTGGACGCCGCTTTCAAAGAAAGTGGCTCGACAAGCTTGATACGGAGACTAGAGTTGCAGTAGTAGAGTTGCAAGACGCAACACTGACTTATTTGACAAGCACATCCTCAAATTCAGCGTTGGCAGAGTAAGGTGCTCTACGGAGGATTCCTGCTCCAATCCAAAAGTAATCGTTCCTGCGGGCGAATCTACGGTCCCTCCGGCATGACAACTGCCGTTTTTCGATTGGAGCGCGATATCTACCAATCCTGCTGCGTCCTTTAACGGAGCTGCAATTCTACTTTTTCATGGCGCCATCTAGATCTGCTTAACCGGCCCTTTATCTATCTTAATCTACTTAACCTATTAATCTATTTAACGCCTGTTCGCCCTAACTTGGAAATTTCGTTGCGCATGTGATCTGGGACCCTGTCCGAGGGTATTGGAAGGATTTTGAAAACCGCTTCAAAGATGTAGTCTCATGCTCTCCATTCAATCACTTGAGTTATATTGTTTTGAATTATTATTGTAATCATCGTATTGTAATTGAAATATTACGTTTTGAGTGTATGTTATGTTTAGTGGTTCAAAGTCTCGCCGAGTTTATCCTCACTACAGAAGGGTTGTAAACAGACGATTTAGGGACTGGTTGAACAGCATTCTCTCTACTGAATTGAACGTGATTTTGGAAGATGACAGCGTTTACGCCACTTCTCTCCTTTTACATGAAGTGTTTGGGTGACTTATTGAAATCGCTCCGGTAGTCCATAATCTTCCTAGAGTTTAGTTATTTGAAGAATAATGATCGTATGCGGTTAGAGAATTAATGAATAGTCTTCAGATTCGAATCACTTCCACTAACGCACCCTTTCCAGGAGACCAGTTAGCGGCCTCTAGTACGGTAGAAAATACGGTCTGGGTAAAGATTTATTGTAGTCTTAGCCGCAATTTGACTGAATGAACTGCTTCTTGGGTAGCCCAAAAGTACCCAAAAGAGAGAATTAGACAGCACTCAGATTTGCACTGACACTGCTTTCAAATTTATCACATCATTCAAGTATATAGCCAGTTTGAATATGTGGCAAAATTTCTTGTGTAATTCCACCCTTTTACTTGGTGAGAACAAGAAGATTCTAATGGTGGTATGTACACTGTACCAGACTTCTATCGTGTGAGAGAAACTGTCTACATTTATCATCTCTGCAAATGAACATGCAAAAATCCTTCTTTTTTCTCGACACACAGTGAAGTCCCCAAGGAAAATAAAATCTACAAAAACAGTGCTATAAATTACTGAGAGTACTCGCCAAACGAGCACTGTACACATGCCATTGCTACTAACTCAAGGACCCTGAAAAAAGGTGTTACGGTAGGATTATGGTGCGAGGGTCAGGATGTCCAATCTTTCCCCCTCCTGTTTTGCTTAGGCAAGCCGACGCAGAGTGTGTCGCACGCAGCGCTGCTGCGTGGAAAGCATTATGTTCATGCGAAACCCCTACCTGCAAAAATACCATCATTTTCGTGATCAGGACGTCCAACAACCCCCCCCCTATGCAAGGTTTCAGCGAATTCTGAGGTTTTGGCCCTATACCGTATAGCCACCGTAACCCCTCGAAAATGGCCCCACCATGCAAAATAAACATCATTTTAGTGATCAGCGGGTCGAATAACCCCTCTAAACCAAATTTCAGGCGAATCCGTGATTTTGACCCCTTGCCGTATACCTACCGTAACCCCACAAAAAATGATCCTTTCATGCAAAATGAGTACGATTTTCGTGATCAGCATGTCAAATAACCCTATATGCAAAGTTTGGGAAAAACCGAGATTTTTGATTTTTGGGTTGTGTGTTCTGAAATAGCGTCATTAAGTCTTCTAATTTTACTAGTTCACATTAAAAAAGAGATCTTTGATTTCTCTTTTCTTACGCTCTACCTTACAGTAAGCAAAAAGGATTTGATGTGAGCATCGCCGTCGAATGTGATTTTTGGTGCTACTGTATGTGAACTGGTATAAGTTCTACACTTTAGAGATTACATAAGTAAGGATACAAGAAAAGTAAGAGTTCAAAAACAATCCGAGTTTTTACTCGAATGCGACAAACAGTTATCATTTTTTTTCACAGATTGTAAGAGCAACAAATTGAGGACGGATAACGAAGAGTAACTTGTGTAAACAATTTTTGATGAAGTTTTAGTCACGTTATGAACATCACAGCAGTTCTAGATTTTAAGGATGAGCCAAGTTCAAACGGAAGGCACGGCAACGTCCTTTGAGAAATTGGGTCCTTAAAGAACTCATGACTTTGAAAGTTCGGAAAACTCAGTAACACATTGGAGTTGAAAATAAAGCTTAACACTATTTCATAAATGAAAACACATTCAAAATGCGCCCCCCCCCCATCCGGCACTTGTCATGCCGTCCCGTTACCGGATATCGTCACGGGACGGCACGACAAGTGCCGGACGGTAGATATCGCGCTCTAATCGAAAAACGGCAGTTGTCATGCCGTCCCGATACCGGAAGTCCGTATTGCACACATTGTCTACAAGCCTAATCGTGTATTTAGCATGTTTATACTTGTTATTTATCTCGTCCAGGTTTATTCACTCTTTGGAAACACGGAAGAACAAACTCAAACTTGTTGAGACAATGTCCGCAACAATGCGGTTCCTCGTCTCCTAGTCGTAAAACAGATGATACCTAATTTCTCATTCTTTCTTCTTCGGCGTTAAGAATCACTTTTTAACAATGACTTGAAAGAGATCATGCAATGTTAAAGGCACCGTCCACCCAAGCCGCGGCGCAAAACGCTCCGAAAGCGAGAAAATGGTTTCGGAGCGAAGATGCATGCATGACTTCCCCAAGTCGGCACCGCCCACTCCAGTCATGCCCGCTCCTCCGTGCGCGCTCATCCCATCACCGTTCCGGAAAGCTGGCTTGGTTTGTAGAAGGGAGGCGCGCATGTGCTACTCAGACAGCCGCCTGGTGCCTCAGCCAGCCGCCATTGAGTTTTTTTGTACAGTTCACCGTGACCTTTAGAGCGGAAGGGCTCTAATCATAACCAGTACTTCACCTTTGCTTCGTAGAGGTTCGCACTG